TCCACTCTCAGCCAGAGATTAAGACGGGAACTCATCGTCCTCAAAACATGGACACCAAGCTGCGAATACCATCACTCCTCAGCCAAAGACACAGAATGAGAGCCACAGCGGCCAAATAAAGCAAACAACACCCTCACCGGCTACTCGGAGGAAGAAGGACACTCGTCGTTCTCGAACAGGAAATGACCACAATGGTCTCCTCGGCCATGAGTGCAAAGTTCAACCATCAACGGCCAGGAGTAGGGAAACATGGTCTTCATCAGCCACTCGCGCAAGAGAACGCTCTTCGTCTCCACAAAGCAAAGGCACTTGTCGTCTTTGAAACCAGAAACATGCATCATCCGCATTACTAGGGCCCTCTTCGTCTACAGCGAAGACCACACAACGGCCAGAACGCAGTACACCCATAACAATGAAAATCAAGGACTAAAGCAAAGGGTGCCCGTAACGGCCAAGACTCCATAGCGGCCCCACAACGGCTAGAAAAAAGTCATCACCAGGGACTCTACTCTCCTTCACTTCGTCTTCATCTCAGCTCAGAGAGTGAGGGACTCCTGATGGAGTATATGGGCCTGGACCCCAGGGCCCACATACTCGGGAGAACAGAAGGTACCACGACCACCTGGTGGGACCCTCGTCGGCCAAATGACCAGCATCGGCCAGAAAGAAGTCTACTCAGAATGTGAACTAGATGTCGAGAACAGCCGGGTGACCTCATCGGCCGGGCCCTCGTCGGTCATAGACAGTCTCCAGAACAGGATTTACACTTAATCTTTTCTATGTACTTTGTGTCCGGGCAAGTAGTGGCCCTATTGTAGATGGGCCTTCCAAGCCCAAGACTTGGGAGCCCAACCCTAATTTCTCCTATAAATACTCCCTCTAGGAGTAGTTCTAAGGGTTCACAATTCATTAATACAAAGCAATTATACTACTTCACTCTCTAGCTCTCACTTCTCTCTAGACTTATAGTCTATCAGCATCGTTTCCAGTCCCAGATCATATCGGCTCAGATTTAAACAGACCAGATCAGTCCGAACTTAAATAGATCATATCAGACTAGACTAAACAAATCAGATCATACCAGAATTAGACAAACCAGACCAAACCAGACTTGAAAAGTTATAAAATGCATAGAGGCCAGACGTTTACCAGATCAGACCAATTCAGACCAGACCAAATCAGATTTAAACATATCAGATCATATCAGCCTAGACCATATCAGCAAATTTTAGTGTAAAAGAAAACATGTAATTAAGGCATCAAAATATGCTAAAAGAGTTGCTTTTGAAACTAGAAGAAAACCCAATTCCGTTACGAGTTCAAAACCGAAGAAAAAGTGTGTTCAATTTCAGCTGGTTGTGAATAATAAGCTTAATCCAACAACCATTTAGCAAACAACAATTTTAGCTATTTAGATGGTCAATATCATGAATTATAGTAAAAAAGGAAAGAATTGGTTGATAAGTCATTTCCAAACAGGGCTAAAATATGATACTCCCTACCCTGCGTTCATATGAAAACTTCTCATTTGACCAAACACACAAATTAAGATAATGGGTATTGTATGGTGGAGAGTTGTGCAAAGGAGAGAAATGTGTAAAAATGTTTAAGAATTATTGTTAACCACAAATTCTTTACAAAAAATGAAAAAAAAAATTGGGAAGGAAGAAAAATTTAGATGCCATTTTTTTGTTGTCTCAAAAACTTTGTCACTTCCCTTTTAATCAATCAATTTATGATTCCTGTTATTTCTCTCCTCTGCACAAATCTCTACCACACCGTTTTTACTTTATTATTCTACGTGTCAATCAAACTTGACAATCCTTTTTAGGGAAGAAAGGAGTATATTAGTGTATTCCGTATTTAAAAGTTTTAGAGGTAATGCCTCAAATAAGACTAATAGCAAAGTTAATTGCACATATAGGACCTGCCTACGGAAGTGAAATTTCATAGAACTTAATTCAACACAGTTGGAAAAAAATAACCCTACTTTATGTTTTTAAATTTTAAAAAAAGCCAAATAGAAAAATTGTTGAAACCGTAAACTTTCAACTGCCAGCAGTAGCACTGCCGCCGTCGAAACCGGAGCCGGCACAGACTACCACTGCCTTCATCGGCACCGCCAGCCCATGTCCTTGTCGGCTCCGCCTATCTCCGCCCTCTCCGGAGTTGTTGCATCCTTGTCGGTGCATCATCACCATCTATCACCGCCCAACCAGCGTCACCATCCGCCTCTGCCGCTGCCATCCTACCATCTTCGTTGTCGCCTGTGTTAAATCTGAGGCCACCACTTCACCTCCGAGCACCACTGCTGCCGTCACACCCCACCACCAAAAATATGCCATTAAATTGGAAGATTTGGCATTGAAGATTACCTTCAAATCTGTCTTCAAAATAAATTTTCAGATCTGCCATAATGATGGCAGCTTTATATTGACCCATTTACACAAAACTGCCATAATCTTGGCAAAATATGAAATTCACAACTAAATTTCTGAAAAACCAAAAATTTAACAAAACAATAACTTTAACAAATTCATCTCAATAACAAATAAGAAGTGAATGACAAAAACTAAAAAATAAACTGATTTTCACAAAAAATGTTTTGCCATAATATGATTGCAGATTATATTTCTGCCATAAACTTGGCAAAAATTGTATGCCATCATCCAAAAAACTGCCATAAACATGGCAAAAACGTATGCTATCATCCAAAAATCTGGAAACTGGAATTTTTCAAAAAAAAAACGATAAATGAGGAAAGGGAAATTTGAAATAGAAGTCCAAAAATCAACAAAATGGAATGTCAAAACTAAAAAAATAGAGGAAGGATAAATTAGAAAAAGTAATTTTAAAGCCAAAAATTCGAATAATTGGAGAAGGAGGAGGAGGAGGAGGAGGAGGAGGAGGAGGAAGAAGAAGAAGAAGAAGAAGAAGAAGAAGAAGAAGAAGAAGAAGAAGAAGAAGAAGAAGAAGAAGAAGAAGAAGAAGAAGAAGAAGAAGAAGAAGAAGAAGAAGAAGAAGAAGAAGAAGAAGAAGAAGAAGAAGAAGAAGGAGAAGAAGAAGAAGAAGAAGAAGAAGAGGGAGAAGAAGAAGAAGAAGAAGAAGAGGGAGAAGAAGAAGAAGAAGAAGAAGAAGAAGAAGAAGAAGAGGGAGAAGAAGAAGAAACATGGCCAAAATGCGGCGTGCTCTCGGTGGAGTCATCGGCAACATCAGCGGCTAAGGATGAAGTTGTTGATGAAATCGATTTGATACGTAGGCAGAAGAAATCGATCGGTCTGATGAGAACTGAGAAGAAGAGAAGAGATGATAGCACAAGGGAGAGAAGCAATCGGCCGATCTCATTTATGGTGTGATGGAGAGAAACAATCGATCGATCTATTTTGTGGTGCGATGGAGAGAAGAAAGGGATCCATTTGTTTATGGGGTGTGGATCATCGGCTAACAGCAGGGGCAATAATGGAATGAGAAATCTCTTATGTTTTCAAATAGGAGCAAAATAGTCTTATTTGAGAATAAAAACATAGATGGTCCTCTTTTGTATTTTCTCTCATCTTTTAGTTTTATTTGAGGCAATTATAAAAAGTTGAGGTATTTACCTAAATAGGAGTAAATCAATTTGTATTTGCCAAACGGGAGTAATAATCTGTAATTGGACAAAAATGCCCTTGAAGCTTGGAAGTAATACTGTTGCGACCAAAACACAGGACCACCGCCTTTCGCCGGTCGCCGCCACTCGCCGCCGGTCGCCACTGGTCGCCATCGGTTTCCTGCATCTCCGTCGCCTCGAAAATAGGCCGCCGTTGTAGATCTGGACACCTCCGATGCAGATCTGGCCACCGTCGCACCATATCTGACATCTACTGCTGCAAATCTGACCTCCTCAGTTCCAGATCTGGGCGTTGTCGATGTGAATGCCAAGATTTTTATCATAATGCCATACTAATGGCATTTGCAAAGGAAAATACAAATTTTTGAAGACAAGAAATGCCATTTTGATGGCATTTTTAGAGTTTAACTTGGCATTTTGTAACAATCAAATAGGAAAGGGAGAATGGAGAAGAAGAATACCATCTCCGACAACGGTGATGGCAGATTTCACGATGGCGGCGGCGGCGGACTTCACGATGGCGTCTGTGGGGGAAGGAGAGAACCGCAGGGGAGGACTTCGTGATGGCAGCGCGGACTTCGCGATGGCCGCTGCAGGGGAAGGAGAGAACTTCAGCGGTTGTTGATGGTGAAGGGGAAGGAGAGAACCGCAGGGGAAAAGTGTGCTTAGGAGAGAAAGAAAGCCTGCGCAGGTAAGTTTAAGAGACAGTAAGGTTAAATAGGTAATCTAATCCTATTTGGGGAATAAAAATAAAGATTGTCCTATTTAGGAATTTCAGGAATGATGTAGTCCCATTTGAGGCAAAAAAGTCTAAAAAGTTTTACCCATTCAGCCTCCCTCTCCTCAATTTCTTCCCTCTCCATTAACACACTCTAAATAATTTTATTAAATTATTTATTAGGGAAAACTATCAAATAAATCCTCGAACTTTCATAAAAAGTACAAATAAGCTTTTTTATAGGAAACTCTGTCCGGCCGTCGCCATTTGAAGCGATTTCTGGTTGAATTTTTTGATGAATTTTTTTTGAGCATTTTCTTCATTAAGTCTAGTTTATTCATACCAAATTGCAGATAAAAATTCAATCGGGAAGGCAGTCAAATGAATTTTTGAAGATAACTGTGCAGTACGTTAGGAAGTGCAGTATATTTCAGAAAATCATTTGACTGTCTTTTCGATTGAATTTTTAGCTGAAATTTGGTATGGGTAAACTAGACTGAAAGAAGAAGATGCTCAAAAAATTTCATCAAAATCTTCCACCTAAAACCGCCCCAAATGACGACAGCCGGACAAAGTCTCATGTAAAAGATCTTATTTGCACATTTTTTTATTTAATAAAAATCACAAATCAAAACTTTCCAATACGGAGTATAAAATAATGACGTCCAACATGATGGATTGATTTGTTAGTGCAACACTAATAAAATGTTTAAAGAAGAGTAGTGGCGAAGTGCGCTGTCTAAGCAATCTTTTTTTATGGCCATTATTCTTTCCCTCTCTCCCTATCTCTCTGCAAATTTTGGGTTTACAGTTTTAGATTTATAGCAAATTTTGGGTTTATCTTTAATCGTAACTGAATCTGGTTATGGAGATGGAGATCAGCCAAGAAGATGTTGTGAGTAGTGGGAAGAAGAAGAACATCAACGACCGACCCTACAAAGGAATCAGGATGAGGAAGTGGGGCAAGTGGGTCGCCGAGATTCGAGAGCCCAACAAGCGCTCCCGGTTATGGTTAGGGTCCTACTCAACGCCGCTTGCGGCGGCGAGGGCCTACGACATCGCCGTCTTCTACCTCCGCGGCCCGTCGGCGCGGCTGAATTTCCCTGACCTGCTCGCCTGCGACGGAGGCGGACTCAGCGATTTGTCCACCGCTTCCATTCGGAAGAAAGCGATCGAAGTCGGGTCCATGGTCGACGCCACCCAGACATCCGTTTCCGGCCGCAGAGGGAGAGGAGATTCGCCGTCGGGCGCCCAAAGCCCGGCCCGGTTGAAAGTGAACGCTTGCTGGTTTGAGGAGATGCCGGACTTGAACGAGAGGCCCGAACCCGAAGACCCGGATGTTGATTATTGGTGAGTTCTTCGGCGGCAACATCAAATTCAAACCTACGATTTCCACCAATGTGAAATTTATTATTAGATCAGGGGTGTTCTCGTCAATTTACAAGTTCGTAAAGAAGAGAACGCCATTTCGAGTTGTACAACCCATGCATGGACTACTATTTTGCATTTTTAATTGACAATTTCATCCCTGTTAAATCACAAAATTTATGTTTCCCGAACCGGTGAACTCTGTTTGAAATTTGTACCAATTACCAAATACTCCGTATTACTCCGCACTATGTTCAACACATATCTCACGCGTGACTTTCCTTTCAAGTGCGTTTGGATTTCATTTTATTTTTACTAATGAGCGGTAACATTTCGTTTTACAAATTGTTAATTTTAAAATATTTAGGGGTTGCTTGAAACTAATTCTGATTCTGCTTCTTTTTTAAAGCAAAATCAGAATCAGTTTTTCAGAAGTTGGTCACCCCCAACTTCTAAAAAAACTGATTCTAGGAGTAAATTAGAGCACCAGAATCACTTCTGCACTTTTACCCAAACACTTCAACTTCTGCTTCTGCTCCCTGAAGAAGCAGAAGCAGTTTTAAGAATCAAATCCAAACACCTCCTTAGATGGCAAATCTTTGCGGCTACGCAGGAATGAAAATAATATGTTTGTTGTGAATGAGGGAAGATTTTTGTTAACTTTGAAATATTTTTCAAATTTGACAGTAATTACCCTTATTTAGAAAATAAAACATGATGATCCTATTTTAGAATTACTTTTTAGTCCTATTTTAGCTATTATTTTAAGTTAGGTTAAGTTGCTCTTCCATCTTTGGGGCAACTTCAGTTAATTTTTAGTCTTAGAAAGTTAATTGTTCCCAAAAAAAGGTGGAATCTCCCACCCCAGAAGCCCCCCCACCCCGACCCGACAGGATGGTGGGGAGGTTAGTCACGGTGACTCAGTCAGCAGAATGGCAGTAGGCCCATACACCCGTGCGCACCAGAGGCCCAGCCTTATTTCAGGTTCTGTGACCTCCACCCGGTCGCTGCGGGGATTCGAACCTTGGTCCATTGTTCCAAATCTTCCACCACTCGACCGACTGAGCTACCCGTGCGGGTAAATTTTTAGTCTTAGAAAGTTAATTGTTCCAAAAAAAAAAGGTGGAATCTCCCACCCCAGGGGCAAGACTATTTGGAACAATAGTCTTAGAAAGTTAATACTCCGATCCTTCAGTTGGAATTCTCCATTAGGAGAGAGATAGAGTGAGATGGGGAAATGGTGGGGTAGGGAGAAAGAAAAGATGAGATTTAATTATTATTTTTAAGGAGAGAGATAGAGTGAAAAAGAAATGAAGAGAGTAAATGGAGAGAAAGAAATGGAGAGAAGTATGACTTCTTCCATTGTACTCCGTATTATAAACATTTGAAGCATTAAAGTTTTATAGAAAATTTAACCCAATCGAGCTATGCCTTATATTATTACTTGTCGTGTACTCGTGTTGTTATTGTTATTACTCTATTAATTATATTATTACTTGTCGTGTACTCGTGTTGTTATTGTTATTACTCTATTAATTAAAGCTACACTAGGACCGTAACACTAAAATCGACCTGATTTTTCTGAAATTTATGAGTTTTGGCTGAAGTTGCTGTATTGGTTGATTCTCCTGATTTAAGAAAAATAAATTTATAAAATATACGGAGTACTTTATTAATATGATAAAGAAAAATATATATTTAAAAACACCTAAAATAATCATCTACAGTAACTTCAGCCAATACAACAAGAAAAGTAACTTCAACCTTATTTTTTCTTATTATTACACAATTCAACGCGTGAAAACAAAATTACGTGTTTGATGAAAAATTTGACTAATAAGCTTGATTAACCGAAAAATAGTGTTACGAAACAGCCTCTAGATGTAACCATGAAACTAAGTTACGGATAGAAAGGATATTCTAATAATACTAATTCAGTGGTGAATTGCGATTCTTACTTCTTAAGGTATAGAGGGAAATTAACTAAACATTGCTACTTAAGATAAATACTAAATATATACAGGAATCCAAAAGTAGAAAAATGGAACTTACTAGGCTTTCCATGAAAAAGAACAGTCTCCTATTCACTATATACCTAAGAAATTCACGAGATTCACTCAACACATGATATGTGGAAAAATCAAGTAGTTTAGGACATCCCTTTAGTTTACTGTATGGGGTGGTGATTCTCTTGCACATTATTCTACACACAATTTTATATAATGTCTTCCACCTAAGAAATTTTGGATATGAAAATGGGCGCTGTGATTTTGAGAATATCATATAGGTTTAAGAGGGTGTTTGGTAATATTCTTATTCGGCTCATCAGATTTATCAGTCAATTTTTTCATCAAACACGAAACTTTTGATTTTGCACGCTGAATGTGTAATAATAAGAAAAAGTTAGGTTGTGATTACTTTTCTGACTGTTTCGACTGAAGTTATTGTAGAATACCATTTTAGCTATTTTACATATAATTTTTTCTCTGTTTTATCAATAAAATATATTTTAATTTTTTTTTTCATAAATCAGCAGAATCAACCAATACAACCACTTAAGACGATTTCAGCAGGATTAGTCATTCAGACGATTTCAGTGTTAACAAATGAACTCTACCCTTCACCAAGACTTTCGAGCACTAATAGTCGGACTCATTTAGTGAGTAAACATAAGTCCTTAGGTTATCAAAAGAATTGGAATAATTACAAGCTTGTGTAGGTTCTAAGAAATCTACCAATTAGTATTAGATAAAGTCATACGGAGTACGTTTTTATAATTTTTATATTTCTATAAGAATACATTTTAATCATGAAAGTACTTAGAAACATATTTGATGAATACTGTTACGGAGTATATTTTAATCACATGTAGCATATCTATGTATCATAATATGTGTCACGTATTTCTTTTTAGCTCGTATCAAAATGTTTGTCACATTTAAATTTTTGGTATAAATTCAACCTAAAAACAGTTACAACACACTGTAATAAAGTAAATACTACTCAAACAGTACACAAAATCTCATATTTTTTCAAAAAATGTACCATGAATCTATAAAATATCTTAAACTGCATGAAAAACTTTTTGAGATACTTCATTTATTTCACAAAATGTGATCAAATTTGACTTGCATGTAAAATAATAATGTAAAAAATGTGTAATTAGAATTTGGTCAGAATAGAGAGAAACTATTGTAACCACATTTTCATTACTTTAAATGGATATTACATAGTTTTTTGGGATTACTAAAAAGGAATCTGTGATAAAAGTATGGTCATTTTATTATATTAATTGTTTCTAGTAAAAGTATGATCATTTTATAACGTTTGTTCTAAAATATAAGGAGCTTCTTGTGCTGTTGTGATTAATTTCTACGTAACCTATAACTCCTATAAGGTCATCTTCTAGTAGTGAAATAAAAATTTATACTCTGTATTTGATAAAAAGTTAATTAAAAAATTGATAGGTTAAATTAAATAAAGGTTAATAGGATAAAATATGGATTATCAAGTATTAACTGTGCTTAAATTACTACTCCCTTCGTCCCTGAATTATCTTCAAACTTTCCTTTTTCGTCCGTCCCAAAATTATCCCCTCCTTCCCTTTTTGGTAAAGAATTTGTGATTCACAATCATTCTTACACATTCTTACACATTTCTCTCTCCTCTGCACAACTCTCCACCACACAAAACCCACTATTTTAATTAGTGTGCCCAACCGAAATGGGAGAAAAAATATGGACGGAGGGAGTATTACGTAGTACTAGTAGTAGATTATTAGAACAGTCGTTTACACTTTTGGAGAAGTGTACTTCAAATGGACCGACACTTCCAATTGATGTATTATGAAGGTACACACTTTTTTAAATGTACAATTATGATAAAAGTGTGACTCCAGGAGCGAGAAACTGTCAAATCAATTGATGTATTATGATAAATGTACAATTAAAGCCTAACTAGGTCTTATAATTTTTTTCCATGGAGAATATTCAAATGTCTCCCTTCATAGCATCAGTTCACTTCCTTCTTTGTCGTATAGCGCTTTAAGAATCTTGAAGAGTAACGAGAGGCGAGGCGAGACGTCTTCGACTGAATATGAGTTAAAGTAGACATTTTTAATGATCAAAACGGATGACTTAAATTAATATTACAACATTTAGATGGGGATAAAATGACAAAAGAAAGCACAGACAAAGGTCAACTTTTGAATCAGACTTAGAGCGTCTAAACATCTAAATTCAAGTATTGATATTAGTTTGAATACCTAACATGCATGAAGTTAAAAATCCTAACAACGACTAGCGGAAATACAGTTTACCAAAGAAACAGTGCCGACATTCTGGTGACTTTGGTTATAGTACGGAGTTGAACGCTCTATGCCAAAACTCATCCAACCGTACAACTATGCAAACGGTTCCTATGTCCGGAGTTTTCCCCTTAGGAATAGGCCAATGTTATTTCAATTTTTTCTTGTACTCCCTACGAATACTGGCGTATCCAGAGATTTGTGAGAGCGAAGGCACACTAGACACTAAACTTAGTTTATAATAAAAACTTTGGACCCGAAACGGAGGCACTGACTTTTACCTTAAGTGCTACTAGTGAATTTTCGAACCCGAAGCGGGGCACATGACCCCCCTAGCCCCCCTTAGGTCCTCCACTGCCTACAATTTATGCAATAATTATATACTCTCACCTTCTCTCTGTTAACTTTTCACGTCTTGACCCGATAAGACATTATGGAGATTGTAAATCAAGTTTAGTCTGATCTGATTTATTTAAGTTGTGTATACAAACACATACGTAGTTCAGTAGTTTATGTACTCCAATAATTGCCCGTAGAAATTGTACTACTGCAGCTGGGGTATCATCACACTGATCAACTCCATATCTATTAGTTTGTTATTAAATCACATCAAATATGAGGAAAATATACGGAGCATGACACAAAATCTATACTTGTGAATGTGGAGCGGAGGAGTCTATTATGCTAATAACTTGATTATGAAAAATAATATTTAAAGAAACTTAATATACAAAATTAATCTATACAGAACTTAAATCATTGCCTTTAGCATGCATTACTTCTTTTTTATATTTTCACGTAGAAAAAAAATACCTCTAGTATTGCTTGTTTTAATTACTAGCCACCCGCACGGGTAACTCAGTTGGTCGAGTGGTGGGAGATTTGGAACAATAGATCAAGGTTCGAATCCCCGCAGCGACCGGGTGGAGGTCACAGAACCTGAAATAAGGCTGGGCCTCTGGTGCG